GTTCGTTCGCGATTCCGCAAGAACAACCGCTTAAGTACCGACTTTGCAATTTCCTTTACGTAACCAGCTCGCCAGCAGTAAAAGCGTAAATAAGGCTGCACAACACTCGCAGGCAACCGGGGTCATTGACCCGTGTAACTTTGCATCATTTATATGTATATGCGAGAGCTGGTGCTAACTCCCTGACAAAAAGATGAAAAAACGAACGTTTATTTCCACGTTTTTCTACATTTTGTTTCCTCGATGTTTCACCTCCGTTGAAGCTGCGCCGCGAAAAATTATGCGCACCGCCCCGTACTCCCTTTCACGGTATTTCTATTCTTAAATGTGTTCTCGCCAAGAAATACGGACAGTATTTGAATAGTTAATATTATCACTGCTACGGTGAAAATTCCAACGATCGATTCACTGAAGTGAAAGTGTGTTTTTGATTCCTGTTCTCAATTCTGCGCGTTTTACGCCAATAATAAAAAGTAATGCGTACAAATAACATAATATAATCATTTTACGACTGTTTTTGTATTAATCAGTACAATACATGTGTAGTAGACTCTGTGATATGATCAAGTAATTTGCAAACGAAAGTCTTCCATCTATGAGAAAATTTGTTACATTCAGATTCAAATTCGTTTGTCGATGTACAGAAAATGATCTGCACAACATTTACAAAATTCGCTTGAACTTTCTCACTTGAGGATATATGACTTTCTCCTGTTTTTTTTATTTTACGTGTTACGACTTCTAAACTCCAATAACTACCTTCATCTTTATGTCTAATAGAACATTTTCCAAACCATTCGAAAGTTAATAATTAGACAGTGGATATTTATGCAGGTTTAGAATTTTATAAATGATATTATGGAAATGGAAATTTCCTTCTTTATTTGTTGACTACAGTAACGACGAGTACTCAATATTCCATATTTCTGGTGAAATAATATAAAATAGAATTGTTAATTTGACAAAAGAGTACTTATAATATTTATATAAATTTGAGTTCCAAAGTAAGGTCAAGTGTACGACAAGTGTATACAAATAATAAATACAATACAAACTGAAATGTCTCGCTATTGGTAAATTGATCGATTTCATATTCTAAGATTACATTCTTTCAAGAAAATATGAATGCATTGACACATTGAGATATTGGAGAATTTCTAATAAGTTTAATTCGCCGTGTGTTGGATTTTGAACGTGAACAGTTCGAAATACATATAATTTCTTTAAGTGATATTTTGATCAAAATTTACACTAGATCACGAGTATCCTATAAATTTTAAATCTGCTGCAAAGCCCACTAATAATTCTGAAGAAAAAGGCGCTGAAAGCGTTGCGATTCAGTATGAAATTTCCATGCATGCGACTTAAGATCGCATGAAAGATCAACTTCAACTTAAGCAGGCCTTTTCAAAAAGCATTCAAAAAGCCTCTGTTGTAATATTCGAGATTAACGCGAGCAGGGAGAAAGGATCAGCAATAACAAGGCTGCATAATAGACATACAAGTCTACTAACATCCGCGGTGTGTATGTAGTTACAAAGGGGAAAGGCGTCTATAGGTTATTCAGATATTCCATCTGGCATGGGATCTTCCTCCGCGAGCATTCCTACCAACCTATATTCTCCATTGCACGTGTGTACACACGTGTGCAACCCTTTAAGCGTAACCAGTCGCGAATCTAACTCGCAAATACTGGCATGAGTTTCCAGGGATATTTGACTTAGCCGAGTATATTCGATTGTGCCCGAATACTTGGGCCACGTTCAATTTGACAATGAGTTTGTCTCGCATTACACGGCGACCTTTATTAAGTGGTTCATACATCAGCGTGCACCGAGATGCCGCACACGGATCGCATGTGCCTTTCCATTTCACGGATGAGCAGACGATCCTGTCGTATATTGAATCTGGAAGATTTGAGGTTTTGCGCGTGGAAAGGATCATCTGCTTCATAGACGGATTGGAATTCACAGATTGTTGTGCTCTTGTGTTTTACCTGTGGATATATAACTATGTTTACAGAGGCTATAGAGGATAAAATAAAGGAAACGTTGCTTATAAATGGACTACCGATTTTTGTGCTTTTGTAGGAAATTGGACGTTTGAAAGAAATTTTAGAGATTGAAAGTTTGACCGCATACGATATCTCTTCCAAAAACGGAGAAATTAAATGATGCTTTATGATGCAAAGAAGTTGTAAAGCAGAGCTGGCTAATTGGCCCTTGCCCCTACTTTCCTCATTGCTATCCCCTCCACTGCATCGATTACTACACTATAGTGCTCGCGGGTCGCCAATTAGCCTGCTGTTATTATATCAACAATTATATTACAAAATATACATGTTATTTAAAAATTTTATTACTCGTATATCAATATCAAATAGTAAATATTAAAAATAAAAAGTTTTCTAAGAGTTCTGAGCGGCAGTGTATACATAAAGTATATCCAAAATAAAGGTATTTATTACAATAAGTTTCTATTTAAGTTACATTCCTCTAGTTACATTCGTCAAAATTTAAAAATATACAAAAATCTGCAATCTGTTTATAACTATATTGCATAATCAAAATTAGTAGCCATGTTGTATAGATTGCAAATTAAAATTTAATTGAATTAGCCAGACCTTAACGTTTTACTTAGAAATAAATGGAGAACTGATTAAGATCCAGATATTCGTCTCTGAATTCTCTAAAAGCGCTTGAAGAATTTCTGCAAGAAGAACGCTGTAGTAGCCCATTAAACATGATTCAGAATTTGTGCGATTTCATTACAAGGAGAATTCAGACTATATTACGATCCTATTAATCTATTAGATTAATTTAAATTATATTACGATGATATTAATCTATTAAAGCACTGAGCAGCAATTTATCATGATATTACAAATGTGTACTTTTTGAAAGTTCATAAAATTATAAAATTTAGATGGAAAACATAATGATGAAAAAATAATATAATGATCAAGTAAATCCTTGAAATTTCCTTCGTGTAGTCAGTGTTAAAAACATAGGGTTTAATAATATAAATTGATCGAGAAAAATTGCAAATGAAATATTGCGTTAATATGATATTAGTACTTAATGAGTTAATAAACATACAAGATTTTCTCATTATTCTGTCAAATCTCTATGTATTTATTTCTCGTATTCCATTCGACGAAAAATATTGAAGAGCTGTGAATACACGATTTCTGTTAAATAATTTATAGAATACAGTTTTGCAATTTTAAAATATAATGGACGTAAAAATTGTTGCATCTAATTCATAATGTAAATACTTGCTAAACAAAAAATTGTTAAAATTTCGTTTTCTATACAAATTCTATGTAGAAAAATGGTCTACGAACTTTTGTTCAAAAAACTTTACTTTCGTTTAGTACACAAGAATAGTCAACAATATATCCTTCAAATGAAATTGCTCTGTAACTTTGCGAAACAGTTCCGCGCAGTTCATATTTGGCGTAAATCGATTAATATCTACGGACTATTAATCAGACGCTTTAATTTGACGATTCGAGCACGGCTACGGGAATTTCCGAAGCACTGTCAGCTGGAACTCTCCTTTCTTTTAGTTTCCAGCTAAAACGCTGGCACGGCGTGCAAGCGAGCATTGGCATTACTTCAGTTATAACGATCTCATTGTGAGAAACTCCGGGAATAATTATCGAAGCAAGGACCAGCCGTAAATCGAGAGACAGCCCCCTTTCGACTTCACGGCAGGGACCCGCTTAAACTTTCCTCCGCTCCGCGAGTTTCCCTCGTAAAATTCAAAGAGAAACACGCGCGAATGTTATTACTTCCCGTGACCATTATCCCCTAAGTTGCTTACGCGCTTAGAAGTATGCCGCCACCGAAGTGATTCAATGAATGAAAATACTAGGATCCTACAAGAAGGATACAGCTCTATTTCTTTGACGTTCCCTAGTTACAGCGTTTCAAACTTCTAAAAAGATATTCCACGTTCTTTGGTGAAATTGCTCGATGCATGTTCGGTGACAGATAAATTTGCTTGCTCGTCGAATTTCAATTACGTTATGTAATTTTCTGTAATCTGTCCAATTTACAGCAAACAATTTTGTTACGTTCGTCCAGTTCATTGCTTAAAGTCATCAAAAGTTAAAAAAGAAGCGAGAAGCACTCATCTCTGAACGCGCAGGCTTCTGATACGTTGTAATATATTATGCTCTTTGAACCTCCAATAAGTAAAGTAATCAGTTGTTTAATTATTGATTATACGATTATCCGTGCATCACAGATAATATGTTCGTATAATGTGTTAACATGAAATTGATATTACGCGTGTGTAAGTACATATGTGTGTAATCGAAATCAATACTATCGATTAAAATTCAGGAATGATGGAAATCTGAACATTTAGATGGAACGAGGAATTTATGCAAAACACAGAAATCGAAGAAATTTGAATATTATATGCAATCACCAAACTTAATTCGAAGGATCTCGATAACAATAATGATTCGAAGCGAGGAGGTTGCAGTTCCTCAGTCGCAGAGTCCCCGATTCAATCTTGAACGGTTCCCGAATCGTACGATACGAGGTTTCGATGTTCG